GTAGTTTGAGGGACCTGAGTGGAACCTCCCCCCCCCCCCCCCCCGGCCGAATGGGGGGGGGGGGGGGGGGGGGGGGCGGGGGGGGGCCCCCCCCCCCCCCCCCCCGGGAGACCTGTTGGAGGCTTGGGATGAGTGGCAGATGCCGACCCTAGCTGGCATGAGCAAGAAAAAGGCAAAATGTATGTGTAGGCTTTGCTGAGGGATACAGGAAGACCAATGTGGTAAATAAAGGTAGTTGAAAAAAAAAAGAAAAGAAAAATGAAAGAAAAGGGCAATATATAAACAGGATCACATGGGATTTTTTTTTTATTCTTTCTGTGTCTCTTTCTCCGTCTTCTATGCAATCCCGTGGTTTGTTCCTTAAGATTTGTGCCTTTCCCAATTTAACAGATATTTATTGTGGGAATGATCAGTGTGTGTGTAAACCTCAGAGTTTTGTTTTCCTCTCTGTGTCCTTGTTTGTATGTGTGTATGCGTGAGTGCGTGCGCATGTGTGTGTCTAAGTCTTTGTGAGTCCTCAAGATAACCGGTGCAACTATAAAGTGTCTCTGATTCCTTCATATATTAATTTTAAATTGTTAAGAGTTAGAGACACTGAGGAGAAAAGAAAATGTCTTCGCCCAGTTTGGTCAGGCCAACTAGACTAGATGAGGAACAGAGTTCAATTTTCTTTCCCCTCTGTGCTTTTAAGAAAAACCCAAGGTTATTAACAAATGTTTTAAGTTAATTTACAAGAAAAGTTTCATCCTTGCATTTACTGTGTGTTTAAATGAGTTTACCTGTTCACCTTTTCCTGAAGCATGTGAATCCAGTTTTTTCCTTTCTCAACTGTTGTGTCTCCATTTTGTTGAAATTGATTTAGCTGTTTAGTAACTGCAATACTGATGTGCTATTTTTCTTCCTCCTCAAACCATGCCTGCAAGCTATCTACCACCACCCCCTATCTCTAATCCTTTTACAATGCCTTTCCTGGTAGAATTACTAGCAAAGCGGGGAGGGGACCCTTGTTCTTTGTCTTTCAGCCCTGCCACATGTGGAAGCAGATGCTGCTCCCTAGAGACCTTCCATCCATTGGAGCCAAAGAATTGGGTTTGGATCCAGCCTCCATTGAAAGTCATTACAGCAAACCAGAGTGGGGCAGACCTTCCCAAGCCTGACTGACCACCCATACCACCAGGCCAAGCTTATGCCACCCAGAGACAAGAAGGAAAGGACCCTGAAATGGACCAGTAAAAGACTAAAAGACTCTTTTCAATCCCCAAAAGATAGTTAGAAAGATTATGGGTGGAGGGTGGAAATTCATTGTTAATTGAAAATTCATTGTAATGTGAAATCCATTGTAATGTTTTCTTTCTTGTATCATTTATATTGTAACCAGTTTGATGTACTCATGTAAGGATTGTATTTGAGAGTGGCTGGCTCAGCAAGTTCTGAACACCTTGGACTTCTGTCTGGTGGGAGGGAAAATTGTCTAGCATGTTTGTATTGTCTGTATTGTACAAGTAGCTACATACACAAGGACACACAAGAGAGACACACCATTCAGAATTAGATAGAGGTTATCCCTTTCACCTACATCCACACAAAGCTGCTCCTAGCTTCATTTTAATGTGTTGTTTTGTTTTGTTTTGTTTTGTTTTGCTGCTCTGTGGCACTAAGGCCCAGGCAGTCATATTGCCCTGCTAATCCCAAGGGGGAGGGGGCATCCCCCTCAGGCAATTCCTGAAGGGATAGTAGAAAAGAGATTTCCAAACCCCAAGTCCTGACTGTGACTCACAAATGATGCTGCCCAGTTGCCCAGTAAAGCAGGATATGTTGCACTGGTGGTCTCATGAATAGAAGTCCCAGGGCTCATTGTGTGTAACTTTAAAAATACTAAATAGACTGGATTGCACACTGGGTAACCTCAATTTGGCCTCACAAACCCTGGAAACTAAGAGCTAGGCAGGTAGTAATCATAACCTTGGAAATGGGCAGCCTGTAATTTAAAGGTTGTGGAGAATGTAGGGGCTTGTGCTTACAACCTGACTGTACTCTCATAAAAAAGTACATCAAACATCTGAAAATTAATTGACATGAAAAATTGGATACAGCAAAAAAAAATAATAATAATCCAGAAGTTTTCCCAGCCTGCTAGACCTTCATGGTTGAAGGCTTTTGGGAGCCACTGAAGGAATCCTTTTCTGCTGCCTCTTTTTCCCTTTGCATCAGAAAAATTAAAAGCACCCATCAAGTTCTCCCCGATGTGATCACCTTTTAATCTTTTGTCAAAACATTTGCGTGTTTTGAAAAAAAAAAGAGGGATTGTAGGAAGTTAGCACCCACACCTCTCCTAGAAAATTGAAATATCCTAGGAAATATTAAAAAGGCAGAATATTTCCCCTAAAAAGAGTAGAAATTCAAGAGCAAAAACACCTCAGAAGCAGAAACTCACCCCCACCTTTGTTAATGGGTGGGCCATTAAGGCCTGGGCCAGAATACTTTACATAACAAAGATCTCCAGGTAAAACTATAGCAATTGCATCATCATCCAGCAAAGCTCAACCAAGCCTGGAACTCAGGACAGCCTACAGTATGGCCTCATGGGAGTCTGACAACCAATCAGAATACAAGCTCCAATTCAAATCCTAACAAAGGTTATAAAACCCAGGCATTCTCAGCACCTCAGCCCTTTTCTTGATCTCTTCCTTCACCTTGAAGCATGTGATCATCCTTCCTTTTCACTCTGGGGCTCCAGGCCATGTAGTCCTGTCCACCATTAAACCTTCCAAACAGCCTCCATGTTTCTAGTGTCTTTTTCCCCACTTGGAACTGAACCCAGAAGGATTTTTCTTCCAACATCAGATTGACAAATTTATAAATTAATGGTTAATCCACTGGGCAACATTCTGTTGAAAGGTGTCAAAATGCCTTTCTTTCGAGGATTTGATTTTCCCACTGGGAGAGCTCCGGCGCAAGGATACGGACAACTGCTTGAAAGCTGGATCTTTTTATTTTTCAGGAAGGCGGAGAACAGCGAGAAGTCTGCGTTCCTGGGCTAGCTAGCTTCCCATGGTAAGTCCCTGGTTTTTTATACCCTTTTCTCCCTTTGTAAGTTGATTTTGTGTGAGTGTTTGTATTTGTGCCTAATGTTTCAAATCCTGCTTGAGTTTGTCTTTATTTCCGCCGGAGGGCAAACTCCGCAGGGTGGCCAGATTGTATTATTGGTTTTCTGTAATCTCTTTTACCTTGAAGATAGTTTTTCATATTTGTTCTGTGGCAATCTCCTGTCTGTCCCTTTTGTAATTTATATTTTGTGTCTTTTGTCTGTTTGTTTTGCTTATTTGGTATGTCCTGTGTTTGTAAGGGTTTTCTAAATTATCTTTTATTTCCTTTTCCTATCTGTCTAGTTTTCTTAATTACTTAGGCTTTTGTCTATAGGGATTCTTTAATACTTTTTATTTGATTCCTTTTCCTATGTAAGTTTGTTTTCTGGCTGACCTGATGTTCCCCTTGGGCTTTTCCTGTTTTTGTGACACTACTGTCTTCGTGAAGTTCCCTTTCCACAATTCCAAGTCTGGGAGGGATTTAAGGGCACACTCTTATTCTCTATCAAAACACAGTTTGCTTAAAAATCTTTCTCAAGTCAACATCAAAGAATTCTACTTGTTTGCCACCGATACCAGGTACCTGATCAACAGGAAAAGCAGTTAAATTGATATCCTATTTTCATATAAACTACCTGCTTACTTTTAACATAATCTTGTTTAAAGAGTTAAAAATATTATTTAAAGGGTTAAAATCTTGTTTAAAGGGTGAAATGTATGTATTAATAAAGGGTGAAAAGTATGTATCTTGATGTATTTTTTCCTTTATATACACTGAGCACCAAAGATAAATTCCTTGTGTGCCCAATCATAAAGAATTATATTCTATTCTAAAATGAAACATATTCTTAATAAGAAAAAAAAGGAATTCAGTGCCATGTGACCTGCTTCACCTATAAAGTAAATTATAAAATGAAGAGGAATTTGTGTTGGTTTTCATTCATGTTATTATCTCTAGAAAAATAATATTTTAAGCTTTTTAAAACAAAACTGCCACAAATGAAAATATAATATGAAAAGAATTAACTAAACCTTTGGTTAACTTCATGGGGAAAAATAAGAAGCCTGGTAGCACCTTTTCCAAAGAATTTTTTTTTTATTAAAAGGCATAAGACACTTCCATATAGTTTTCTTGGCACTGTTTAAAAAGTGCTTTGTCATGCCTTCTTGGGGCACTAGTGTATGTGTGTATATATTTCAAATTTCCAATCTAATTTGAACCTCTGGGATTTGATAATCTTCCATTCTAATTAGATCCAATCTTGTTTATCTTCTTTAAATTTGCCACATTGAAAATATAGACCATAATTATTCATATTGTAAAATTGGGGATTTAAGACAAAGTGACGTCCTACATTTCTGCAAAGTAATTAATTTCCCGTAATATTCAGAATGACCATTGTGATGTCATGGCTTCTGAAAATGCTGTACTATTGTTGCAATTTGGTCTGGATCTTAAACGACCAACTTCACGCCTTCTTTTAAAGATGCAGACATAGAAGTTGTTTCCGCTTGAACAGCCGGGTAAGGAAAAGTTATAATTACAGGACTGTACATTTTGCTTGTAGATCACCTCCAAGGTCCCTTCCAACTCTGATAATTCTATGTTCTTCGTCTGTAACCTTCTCTCGAGCCTATAAAATTAGAGCGGAACTAAAGTTCAGGGGTTGGTTTTCCGCTTGGACATTATTTCCTGAAGCTCTGCTTCTGTGTTTCAGTCGAATTGTTTCCCCGGATTGACAGGCTGCTAGATCCCAACTGTTAAGGCTGAGGCAATGGACGATCAGACGATTCTCAAGACTTTGCTGTACACCGTCAATTCTCTCTTACAGCAGCGGAGATATCACACCATGCTGGCGGTGCTCAAGGGCTTCCGCAACGGAGCGGTGTAAGTTTCAGCTGGGGACCGTCTTTCTTTCGCGTTCCTGTTCCGAAACTATCGCCGGAGTCCTCAGGGTTTACGCTGATTTCACTAAGAATTGAATGGGAGGAAGCAGATTTGCCCTTGACCGCTCTTGGCTGGGCTGTCTCCAACTTTGCTTTCGCTCTTCTTCACAGACCCCTCCCCCCGCCGCTTTGTGGGATGCTGCACTAGATTGCCTGGTATTGTCTGCTTGGTGAGAAAATAACGACCCTTTTTACTGATGTTTTGTTTATAGGTGTAAGTGACATTTTGTGTGGGCAGGCATACGATTCTCTCCCACTCTTGTGTAAATAAAGTTTAAAATTATTGACACAAGCTAAGTTGAGTGACCAATCTGACTGTCATCCTGGGGTAATTTAAAGTGGTCCTGGCTATTTTTATATCAGTACATTTGTTTCTTATGCTTTATCTGCATTTCATTTCAAATTTCATTTGAAATTTGCATTTCATTTCAAATCTGCATCTCATTTCAAATTCATAAGAATTTCAAATTCTTATGATTGACTTCAAAGAAGTATTACTGACAAAGTGAAAATATGTCTGCTATTATACTGAGTTTTCATTTCCTTTTAGAGGACAATATTGGTTCAGTATATACTGTATTAAGCTAAAACATTGCTGTAGAACCATATATAAGTTTACGGAACAGCAGTGAGCTTACGTTGATGCCTTCTAAGGTCTGGATTCACCTGGATTTCATTTTTAATCATTCATACTTAATGCTTACAATAAATTATTTTTTGTTTTCTTCTTGTAATCTCCAAAATCCATTCATTCAATTATCATTCTAATAAAGCAATTGTTATTCTATACATTGTTTAGTAGTTACTTATCTCTGCTCCTGCAACATTGTGGCTAGATATTTTACAATCATTCTGGTGTTTAGAGTAGTGTTTCTTTTCTAGTGGCTGGTACTTCAAAACAAACTCTGTGATTCTCTTATGAACAAGATTATCTTCCTGTCCATGGCTGTTTTTATATTTTCAAAGCATTAAATATCATTTCCCACATGATAATGAGTATTCCAAGAAGCTAAAAGCAAGGAAGAGGTTTCAGAACATTGTTTTAGTGATATACTAAATCTGAGCATTCAGATTTATGTGCCATATTAGGCAACCATGTTAAGTCTTTCAGTGTAGAACAAACTCAACTTGTTTGTGCAATTTATTTCCCAATATATATGGCAAAGGAGTTGTGAAAAGTGCTGATTTGTCATCCCAAGAACTGTATCCCCATATTCTGTTTTCAAGTTACATCAAGCAATAATTAGGGGATCCTTGGTACTCTGAGCTTGCTCTTCTTGCAGGTGTTTCATTACCCTAGGTAACTTCATCAGTGCTAGTAAAGAGTACTGTTTCCTGTCATTTTATATTCTGGTGTCTTGCCTATCTGTGTGGGTGGCGGCAGTCTTAGAGATTCTTTGGTTGGGCTGTTTACTGATGGCTTTTTGGCAGTTTCTTGATTGGGGTATTGCTTACTTGCAATAATTGCATTCAAACACACATTAAACTTTATTTTACTGACAATTTTATGCATTTTCTTTGTTTTTGGCAGTTATGGAGCCAAAATCCGTGCCCCTCATGCTTTGGTAATGACATTTCTCTTCAAAAGTGGAAGGTACATTTCTCAGAGCATCTGTCACTTACAGAATAAAGCCATAGAAATTGAAGAAGCCTACCTTGTTGTGTGCATGTTTTTTAAAATACAGGTAGCCCTCTACTTACAACCATTAGTTTAGCAACATTACTGAAACAAGTGACTTACAACTGGTACTCACATAACCATCACAGCCACTTACAACCATCCCCACATTCACATAATCAGAATTTGGGTGCTTGGCAACCAATATGTATTTATGATGGTTGCAGTGTCCCGGAGTTACTTGATCATTATTTGCAGTCTTCTGGAAGCAGAAGCCAACTTCCAACAAGCAAAGTCTTACTTAACGAAGTATGAGTTACTTAATAAGTGCAGTGATTTGCTTAACAGCTGTGGCAAAAAAAGATCATAAAATTGGGCATGACTCAACAAACACCCTGTTTAGCAATGGAAATTCTGGTCTCAATTGTGGTAAGTCAAGGGCTATCTGTAGTCTTTTAGTACACATTGTGATTTCTCTCTGCATTCTTAATGTTTCTGTTTGGATGTTTTTCACTGAATTAAATACTGTATATTAGGACAGAAAAGGGATTATCTTGTATTAGATTAATAATACCCTTTGTCCTTTTTGTACTTAAATCAGACTATAAATGTATTTAATACTGTTTTATGAATATTTATCCATAGAAACAACATTTTCTAGGAAATCAAGGGAGGGTTATGAGGCAATCTAACAATACATACGTATATATTCTCAACTAAGTTTCACTATGTCCAATGCAGCTTATGCTGTCATCATATCAGCCCTTAATGTAAAAGTAACATTGCAATCTTATCCATTGTAATGTGATTCTGTAGTTGAAGATTCATTAATTTATAGATGTTCTCCTGACTAAATAGAATTCAGCTAGTAGATATCACAATTTCTTCTTTGAATTTTTAATAATTTTAACGATCTTAGTCATGTCAGATTTAACTTAACTGCCATTCTTTGTATGTTAATTCAATGTTAATTCCAATGTTTCAGTTTCTACAACTATGTTTTTTAAAATGCCACAAACTGTAAAAATTATAAACATTTGAGTACATTGACTAGAAAACATATTTGTGCTCTTTTATTAGAAACAGATTGGCTTATGTGGCTTTAGTTTTCTAATTTTTCTGAAAGTGAAATGAAGATCATGTTACTTTTTAATGTACATCAGAAGCAATGACTAATAATATTTTCAGGGAAATATTATAATTGATTTATTATATTTTCAGGGAAATAATGTTATGTGTAATAATTGTTCTTTGTTTCTTCCCTTCAGCCTAAAGGAAAAATTGAAAACAATTCTTCAAGCTACCTATACTCATTCTAGATGTCTGGCCTGTTTTGTATTCATTTATAAGGGTTTGATGGCCATGCAATCACGAATGCAAGGAAAGAAGGTTCCACTTCATTCTTTCATTGCAGCCTTCATTGGGGGCTGGTTAGTGTTTGGGGAAAGTAATAATGTTAACAGCCAGGTAAGCAACTGTGTTGTTTTGTGTTAGATTTATGGTTCTATTGATCTCATGAAGAGTGAAAGGGAAATTAAAAAATTTAGTAAATTGTTCCATCACATTCTTCCATTATTAATTTTTGTGTATCTGCCACAGATGGGGTAGTGAATTTATCTGTATACAATTCTTCTGCATCTTTCTTTCACTCTAATAAAATGTAAGAAAGGAATTAGTAATCATAAGCTTGTATGCTGCCCAATTCTCAACTATTCTGGAAGGATCATAGCAATCATATTACAAGAACATTAATAAAAGATAAAAGGTGGCAAGTGGGATGAAGCAAGGGGTCTCACTTTCCTGTGCCAAAAGCTTGGGTGAAGAGCCAAGTCTTCACAGCTCATATAAACAATAGTAGACTGGGGTCCCTTTGAGTCTTGGGGACAACCTTATTCCAGAGAACAGGCCCTACTATAAAGAATATATGCTATCTATTTGCTAACCACACTCAATGAACATTTTAACAAAAGATAAGTATTGTTATTCAAATGATAAGCCCATTTAGAGAAGCATTATATCTTCCAGGATGAAAAAAAATATTTGGTAAGTTACAACCGATACTTCACAGTGGTAGATAATTGTGGCAGAAGAATTCCTATCCATGTTGATTTTTCACTGTAAAATTTAAAAATCCAGATATAATTTGGATGCTTTTTAGGAAATGTATTTTGAATACAGATGCATTTCTTTTGAAACCAGTCTTGATGCAACTGAGAAAGGATTTATTTATAGCTGATACAGTATTTCTAGCATTAGATTTAGGAATAGATGTAAAATGTTGCTGAACTTTATTAAAATGCAAGCAGTCTGGTTAAAATTAGAGACTGATTTTGATATGAAAGAACTAGATGATCTCCTTAATTGAAAGTTGTTTCAAGTAATCTCATTTTCCTGTTGTGCTAATTGCCTAATTTTAATTCAGTACTTTTTTCCTGAACAGATAAATATGTATCTATTATCTCGTATCCTGTTTGGCTTGTCTCGATTGGCAGTAGAGAAGGGTTATATCCCACAGCCCAAACAAGATACCTTCCCAATTTTTGCTGCTATGGTTTGGGGGATTGTTCTTTGGCTTTTTGAGTATCACCGGCACACTCTACAACCATCACTACAATCATCCATGACCTACGTATATGATGACAGTAATGTTTGGCATGATATTTCTGACTTCCTTGTATATAATAAAAGATCTACTACCAAATAAACCTGACAACTATTTGGATAAAAACACATTCCAATGGCAGTTAAAATGATGTATATCTGAACATCCTTTGCAATACTGAACATTTATATTAACATTGGATATGAATGTCTACTTGAAGTCTGTCCACAATGTTTAGTATAGATTGCTGATTTCTTCTGATTAGAGCTTGAAACGAGTATTTTATAAGCAAAATATTTTGTTCCTTTTTCTTCAAGATACCTAGTTTCCCCTTTTATGCTATCAGCTGAAGAAAATATCCCTTCATTGTTTTAAAATCAAGAAATATGAATTAAATGTTAAAATATAAGGATCAGATGACACAAGTATCACAAGTATTTTTTGCATCTAGGTGCAACTATGTTATCTACAACTTCTTCAGCAACAAAAGAAATAACCAAATTTTCTGCATGTTGGATATCATTTTATAATGATCTTGGTCTGTAGTTATGGTACTTGGAAGTGTTATTGCTTATGTTTTGTTTATCCATGCCTCTTTTATCAGAGCAGATAACATATCAAACCAATTTTAAGGATGTTTTTTTTAAATGGACTTTTTAAATCCAGTTGCATAAATATAAAACAAAAACTGTGGGAGTTTTTAAGTACACTATCCTACAAAATGCTTAAAATTTAGTAACGTTAACAAATAGAGGAAAATTGGGTTTTATTTCTTGGGTTTCTAAAATGAAAGAAGAGAGTAAATAGTATGGTGAACAAAGGAAGGGTGTCAAATAGGTTATTCTTGTTGTGAAATCCTGTAATATGATGGGGGTGAGGCAAGAGTGTGAATACTAAAAAACTTTTCCTTGATTGAAGCTTTACTAGATGGAAAATGATGCAATCATACATAGCTAAAACTATTATTGCAGTTATCATACTCTGATCATACAGTCAACAGGTACAATTCTGTTTAGCAATCCACCAAAAGTGCCAAATGGAGCATTAGATTTTATCTCTTTCTTTTATTAATGAATACAGATGTGTATTGTATTTTTTGACATTTATTTAACATATATGGTCACCTGACTCGCACACAGTGACTCCGGGCTGTGTATAACTTTAAAAATCCACATTTTTTTTATTTAAAGAAAACCACCCTAGTGCAGAAACAACAGAATCAGACAAGCCATTTGACTGGCTCAGAATGGGGTCCCCAAGCCGTCTGACAAAACCATGTCTTCAAGACCTCGTGGAAAAGCATCAGGGTAGAGGCCAATCTTATCCCTGGAGGAATGATGTTCCAAAAATTTATAATCCAATCATGTGAACTGACTAAAGCTAGTCTTTTTGGGTCTTTTCCGGGCTTGTACAGATACACAGAAAAGCAATGTGGATTTCTTATTTTAAAAGAACAAAAAATTGGACTTCTAGATGAAATGGAAGATCTTGCAAAATTCATTTGCATAGCAAGCATAGATCTTCCTAAAATGTTAATTTATTTTCATAATTTCATCTCTCTGTATCATTATGAATACTACACTTGGTGGCCTCATGCACTGCACACACACACACACACACACACACACACACATACTACTGCTGCTAAAAAAAACTAGGTTTATGAATTAAAATATCTGACTGCTGTCCTAATATCATTTTACAGTAATCATTTTCAACACAATGAGTATAGTGAAGAATCTGTTTTTAAACACCATTATACAAAATGAAGCAGCTTTTTTTAATTGAAGAAAACAAATGTACTTTTGTATGTGCTGGAGTGTTATTTGAAATAGGATGCTTAATAGGACCTTGGTTAAAAAAAAGCAAGACTGATTATAAGGCATTAAAAATTATTGGTTATGCTGTTGCACTGAGTTTTGATTTATCATTGAAAATTTGCTTATGGTACCAAGTGTATATATTTGGGAGCCAAGAAAGTTTTGTATTTAATTTATAGGACTATAATATGTGGCTTGTTAATTCTTTTATCACACATCTTTACTTTGTTTGTTTGATATATTTGTTATCTTGCACCATTAAGTGTCTGTTCTCATGAGATAATCTATGGCCTTCTTTCTGAATTCCTTCCATACAAATATTTAAAAGCCACCATGCCAAAATCACTATCACGTCATGTTTTATGTTCAAAGGAATAAATATCAATCTGCTTCAGAAAATTATTGATATTTTGGGCAACGTCTGCCCTAAGCTTTTATTGGTTCTCGTCTCACATCATTGCTTTCATTCAATGACACCTCCTGCTGCCTTCTCCCTAAACAATGGGCAATATTTCTTCTAAAAGTTGAAGGATCAGCATATTTTTAACTAGTACTTCAAATAGATTTTAGATTTTTCTGTGTTTCTTTTGAGCTGCAGTCATCAAACAGTAATACTGAGTTTTCTTTTTTTAAGGATATTGTTTAAGACCTTGTCTGAACTCACACAAAGCACAGGACTGTAAAGCAAATCATATGTGATCACTCCACTACTGTTCCTATAGCTTACAGATGAGGTCGAATCCCTTCTGCCACTAATGTGACTGAACAATGCTGGTGTGTGCTAGGGAAGTGAACTAGAAGTAATGGGTCGGTCCAAAGACTCTTGGATACATAAGTTCCATTCCTCACTCTTTCAAATTGTATTGTTTAGCAAGCTAAGTATTCTGTTTGGTTTTCATGCTAATAAGAAGGAAACACAAAAAGAATAAGGCGACCGTTTGGAAATCCAGCTCCCAAACAGCTTGCCCCATCAAAATTAACCAAGTACCAACTATCTCGGCCCTGAAGATGAAAACAGATGCATATGTGAATTGCGTTAAAAGCAGTTCAGCAGAGGTTTTATTTACATTGAGGACATTTTAACAGGAGATCTGGATTCCTGATCTGAGAAAATATTCATCCTTACTTAATATGCCATGATTTTATTAGGCTTGAAAAATGTTTTTTTTAAAATAATAATATAAAAAGTATCTATGCTATATTGATACAATATAAATTGAATGAATTATTTATATTATTTAAACTGAATGAAATAGATTTAGAAATGCTGTACAGGCAGCTTTTAAAAAAAATAAAATAAAAAATGAGGAAGATTGGAATAAGTCATTATCCTAATTTGAATACGAAAAGTACAATCTCCTACATAATTCAAAGATAATCCACAATAAGATTTTTCCCTATTTATAAACACTACTTAACATAAGTTCCCTGACATATTTGTGGATCTTAATTGATATTGTAGGTGCAGGGTCTCAAATAGCATTAACTAGTGGAACAAATCATTTAACAGTATAAAGAATGTATAAATACTTTTTTCTTAATATAGGAACTTTCCTGTGGGTATCATGGAAGTTTCTCTTTAGATTTTTTTAAACCCTTCATATTGGCAACAGCAAATGGCCATTTTACGTATATTCCTGAATTTAGACATTTTGGAAAATAGCCATGTGTTTTTTATGATAATAGATTTCCCCCATTCACTGGAAATGTTTATGTTCTATTTTTTGTTCCCTGTTTTCATATGGGTAGATAACAAAAGTTATTTTTAAAATATAATTTCCAATATAGGCTTTTTCAGGCTGTTGTAAACTAATCATATTTTTGTATGTTAGAAATATTAGGTGGCTATACTGTACAGGTAGTCCTCAACTTACAACCACAATTGAGCCCAGAAGTTAAGTTGCTAAGTGAGAAATTTGTTAAGTGAGTTTTGCCCCATTTTACAACTTTTCGTGCCACATTTGTTAAGTGAATCACTGCAGTTGTTAACTTAGTGACATGGTTGTTAAGTGAATCTGGTTTCCCATTGATTTCGCTTGTCAGAAGATTTCAAAAGAGGATCATATGACCCCGGGACTATCTGCAACCATCATAAATGTGAGTCAGTTGTCAAGTATCTGAATGTAAATCATGGGGATGCTGCAATGGTCATAAGTGTGAAAAATACCGTATTTGCCGGCGTATAAGACGACTGGGCGTATAAGACGACCCCCCAACATTTCCACTCAAAATATAGAGTTTGTTATATACTCGCCGTATAAGACTACCCCCTCTTCCACACACCTTCCACTTTTGCACTTTTTTTTTTTTTTTGACGCACTTTTCTGCTTTGGACAATTTTGAAATGAGCTAATCCAATTTTGAACCAAGAATATGCAAATAGCTATGGAGTTTAGAAATGAGTTTTAAAAATATTTTTCATTGCTTACCATTAAGCGTAAAATATGTTGTAAATAAAATGAGAACACAGGAAACGTTCTCTTCTCAATACAGCTGATCTCTCTCTCTCTCTCTCTCTCTCTCTCTCTCACACACACACACACCAAAAACCCGGACACTGAAAAGGCTGCCAAGGAACAGTATATTCAATGCCTTCTCTTTAATCAAGAAACAAGGAATTCCTTAGAATCTTTTTTTTCCCCAAGTGGCCCTCTTTAAAAAAAAAAAATGGAGGTAACACTTTCATTCAAAAAGTCTTCCAGTATCTGGAGTCGCTCAGACATATTGAAGTGAGGCAGGAGAGTAAGTGAAATTTGAAATGATCCAGCTACCGTTTTCTTCCCCTCCCGCCCGAAGGCCATTATCTCCACGTCAAAACGAACGAGGGGAGGCAAAGAAGCCAAACACGCTAAAAAGGATCTCTTTATTTTCCTACACAAGGTCACACCTACTTTTCCGCATTCAAAGGACAACCTCTCCTCACCACCAACACACACACACACACACCCCAATACCCGCAAACAATGTTCTGGGCATTAATCACCATTGCTACATTAACCTGGTAAATTTATACCCTGCCTCCCCCAGTGTTGCTTTGACGGCAGGATTTCACACAGCGGGGCGCTCGCTCGCTCTCTTCCCCTCTCTCCCACCGTTCGCACATGTTGGAAGCACCGTAAAACCTGATAACCCACCCTGGGGCTCCCCCATCTCTTAACCTACAGCTGCCCGCATGCAAAACCTGCGTGCAAAAAGAAAAAAAGAAAAAGAAAAAGAAAAGTACGCCGCACGTGAGGATCTTCGAATCCTCTCCTTCCCCACACCGCTAAGGAAGGAAGAGGGGGAAAGGTTGCGCAGCGCGTGGCGAGTGACACCCGCCACACACACACACACACACACACACACACACAGCTCCCCCCCCAGCCTCCCTCCCGGCTGCAACTCAAGCTCGAAGTGGGAGTCGGAGTCCTCCCGGCGTATAAGACGACCCCCCCACTTGGAGGCATGTTTTTCAGGGCAAAAAAGTCGTCTTATACGCCGGCAAATACGGTAGTCATGTCACTTTTTTCAATGCTGTTGCAACCTTGAATGGTCACTAAGTGAACTGTTATAAGTCAAGGACTACCTGTAATTACCTATCCTTACATAATTCACAGAACAGATTGTCTTTTTGAAGTGTGGAATATTCAGGGTGTTACCTAGTTATTCTGTTCCTCTCTTTCAATAAAACAAAGTGATCATATTGTGTGCAAGTGCATTTTTAAAAATAATATTGGCTATAAAAAGATACTGATTATGAGTGCTGACTGAACTCTTTTTCTCTCAAACCAAACATTTTTAAAGCTGTATGAGTCACCTAATGATTCTTCCTGAAATAATAATGCCATGGGCACTACATACCAATACAGTTTTGAACTTCCCTGAAGAGGGACTGCTGATTGCGATTGTCCGCGGCTTTGGTCCGTGCTTCGGTGTCGGAGAGCCCCGATCAGTCTGATTTAGAGCAGAAGCTGCCTCGTAGGGGCGGCAGAGGAAGGGGAGACCGTCAGCCGGGTAGAGGAGAGTTGCAAATCCCCTTGCTGGCTTGGCAACTGCTCCCTCCCAAAAAAGTCTGAAGCGGTGGTCTAAAATGGCCACCCTGAAGGGGAAGATTAAGCTTGAATAAGATTGTGCTGGAGAGAAAAAGAAGTGAACAGCAGGAGGAACGGGACGATATAGTTAAATGGAAAATACCCCCAGGATTAACTTTTTCAAGAATCTTTAAGAAAGGATTTAAAGCAGCGAAGAGAAAGGTGGAAAAAAAAGGTGTGAATTGCTTTTGACAGTGGTGGGGCTTTGAACTGAGAAAGGTAGAAGCTGGAAAAAGAAATAATTTAACTAATTTGGATAAGTATGTTTTGATTCAATATAGG